GGGCTGCTCTCCTCACTCCACTATCTCTTCTCAGATCTGCCCAGAGGAGGACGGGATGCTAGGGTCTAAGATGTGCTTCCAGTCCTACTGCAGGGCGGGGAGGTCTGCTGCTGCATGGCCCACCTCTGCCTGCATTAAAATCCAGGCAAGAGGGCAATCAGCAGATGACATAATGGTTATGTTGCTGGACTCCCATGTAGTCGACCACAGTTCAAATCCAGGACCTAGTGGCTTAAAACTCATGCCGGGCACATGTGCATGCGTGCCCGAGATCCCGTGAGGAGAATGAAGGAGAAGGGATTGCAGAGTGGCCATCCCCTGGGGGGAGGTCCTCACTTTCTGTCTCTGTCTCTCTGTCTCTCTGACAAGCACGCACAACCAGTAGGAAAAATATCTCTAAAATAAATAAATAAATTCACTCAGAGAGGAATCAGCCAAGTACAGCTGGCTCTCAAACCAACCACATTCCCATAATCACTTCACCATAAATATATTATGAAGAAAACTGATAGTTTAATCTCCGTCATCTGGCTTTCTCAATGACTCTGACCTCGGACAAGAGAAAAGGGGCTCTGTGGCACACGGTAACAAGCTGTTCAAGAGAAGCCAGAGTCCACACAGTGACTACGGCTCAAATTCCTGGGCCAGTCAGCCCAAAAGATGCCCACACATACACAAAGTGCCCAAGATCTGACTGCCTGGAGGACTGGAGTAAGGGTGTGACCAGCCCCTGTGGAGAGTGCTCCTCCCAGCATGTTCATGCACTCTATCGGGGAAGGAAAAGAAAATAAAAACAAAACGAGGAGCTGTTGACCCCTCCAGACCACCCATTCCACTGATCCTTTCCACTGTTTTTGTTTTCCAAGCATTTATGCTTATTTTAAAATGTCTTTACTTCAGGGCCAGCAGGTGCCATAGTGGTTAAGACACTGAACTCCCACATGACCAACAACGGTTTGAGTCCCAGAGCTGGCAGCTAGAAACAGGCTGGATGGGTGTGTGTGTCCAAAATCCTGAGAGGAAAATGGAGAAGGTATTGCAGCATGGCCATCCCCAGTGGGGAGTGATTTCTTGCTTTCTATCTCTGTATTTCTCGGTGAGCTCATGTGCCCTATAGCAAAAATCTCTCTCAAAAAAAAAAAAAAAAAAAAGTCTTTTCTTTACTGCTACTAGGTTTATTCTGGTTTTTTATTTGTTTTTTCCAAAAAAAAACTTTTGGAGTTGAACAGTTGGATCAGCATCTTAAAGATACTTTCCTCTGGGACCAGCAGGTGGCGTGGTGGTTAAGGCGCTGGACAAACCCACATGGCTGACCAGGGGTTGAGTCCTGAATCTGGTGGCTTGGTTTCTCTGAATCTGGTGGCTTGCTTTCTCACTTCCTCTTTCTCTCACTCTCATCCTCTGTCTCTCTCTGGTCAAATTAAAAAATAATAAGAGAATGAATAAATAAAATAAAATAATTATTTTTAAAAAAAATACTTTCTTTTTCCCAAAGCAGGCATTGCAAACTGTCAATTTTCCTGGAAATACTATTCCACTTGCATCTTGTTATCCTTAATATCATTTTATCATTCAGTTTTAAACAGTCATTTCTATTTTGATTTCTTCACTGACTCATAGAATAACTAGAAATACGTTTTAAAATTTTTAAAACAGCAGTTTATTGTGCTTGTGTGAGAAAGAGTGATAGATTTCTGACCGTGTGGCACTAGGGTCAGAGAGAGCCATAAAAATAGGTTTAATATCGATTCTCCTAGAATAGGGTGATGCCTGTTTAGTAGCAAAGATTTTATTTATACACTCACATACACATATATAAAATCTTTTTTTATTTTAAAGGTATGCTTGAAAATAACGCATGTTCTCCAAATTAGAGGTATCAATTTTCTAAGATTACTTTTTTTGCTTTTTGGCCAGAAGATATGTATGTTCACCAGAGAGAAAGAGAAAGAAAGCACCTTCCAGTGGAGCAAGGTCACACTCAATTATTTTTCCTTCTTTTCCCCCATCCCATTAGGATTTTGGACATACACACACACAACTTGTATGTTTTTCAAGCTTCTAGGATGGGATTTGAACTGCAGTTAGCCATGTGGGATCCAGCTCTCTCCACATAGTGTTTACTGCTATACTATGGGGCCAACCCTAAGATTACCTTTTTAAACTGTATTTTCTAATATCTTCATTAACTTGCTTCTGCTTGATCTATCAATTTATTGAGAGGTGTGTCAAAACCTCCTATGGGTGTGGCTTTCTCAATTCCTCCTTATAAGTCCATCAAATTTTCCTTTGTATTTTGAGATTATGTATGTTAGGAGTTCACAGATTCAGAAGTATTTATCTTCCTAGTGAATTATTCTCTTTAATATCTCCTTTATCCCAGCAATGCCTCTGCTTTTGTCTCTTTCATTTAATAATAATGTTGTTAAGCTATTTCCATTTGGGGTTAGTATTTAATAGACCTTTTCCCACTTCAAGAGCCAACAGCAGTTCAGACCCCAGTTCAGTCTCCTACAAGCCATGTCACTGACCAAAGATGGAAAAACTGACCACTAATAAAAACAATGACATACCAGGTGTGTGTCCATCCACTGTAGTTAAATCCATTAGTTGACGATGATACCAGAAGAAAATCATAAAAAATTCATTGGCTCAGCTCTTTTTTTTTTTTTAGAGGTTTTTGCTATAGGGCGTGTGTGTTCACCAGAAAGACATGAGGCAGAAAGCGAGAAATCACCCCCCAGGGGGGATGGCCATGCCACAATCTCTTCTCCACCATTCTCCTCTCGGGATCTTAGGTATGCACACACACGTGCCCGGCATGATTTTAAGCCACTAGATCCGGAATTCACACTGCAGTAGACTACATGGGAGTCCAGCCACATAGCCATTACGCTAACGGCTGGTCCCATTGGCTCCACTCATGAAGGATGCTGGGAACTATGTCATTATTTTGGAAATCAGCAAGTAAAGGAGAAGAATCGAGCATTAGCCTGCCTTTCCTATATGAGCTGTACCTTGAGGAAATCAAATAGTCAATGAGAGAAGTTTCTGGGTATGGAAAGCATTCCAGCTTACTAACTAAGGTGTTCTAGAAGCTGAAGGTCACCATTGAGCAAACTCAAATGAAATAACCAATCCATAGCAATGGTCATCATAGCCACTGAAATAACACACAGAAAAGCAGCTGGACACCATGGTGCTGCACTATGGTGGTTTACCGCACCAGCCACAAAGGGTTCTTGCCCAAAACAAAAAACATGCATCTAGATCTAACTCCCACTGTACAGGAGAAGAGGGGATAGAGGAATACCTTAGACATCACTGCTAGGATACAGAAACAAGAGCCAGACTGTAGGAGGGAGGCTCTCTGGGACAATGCAGTTTCTTCAACAGACAAAGGAAAAAAAACAAAGACTGAGGATGGTGGCAGCAACTGCAGATATGAATAAACTTCAGATTCATATCATTCCATTCTGACATATGAACCTTATTGTTGAACAAACTACTAAAAATATTTATGGGCCCGGAAACAACAGCACAGCACTGCATCACACTAAAGCCACACGAAAAGGCCCCAGGTTTGGTTCCCAGGTCAACCTGAACATGCCAGGCACAACTGCAGGTGAAACCAAGATCCTAGCTGGCTTGAAGGCTTACAGAAGATGAGAATGTGACAAGGAGTCCTTATCTCCCTCCCTCCTTCTTTTTTTCCCACTATTAAAAGAGAGAAAAAAATTAAATACATATTATATTAACTTATTGGGGAAATTTTAACATTGGCTAAATATTTGATGACATTAAAGGAATTAGTATGTGTGTGTGTGTGTGTGTGTGTGTGTGTGTGTGTGTGTGTGTTTTTCCCATAAAGCATGTACACTCGTCAGAGAGAGACAGAGAGAGAGAACGTAAGAAACCACCCCCCAGGAAGGATGGCCATACCATAATCCTTTCTTTTCCATTCTCCCATTGGGATTTTGGGCACATGTACCTGGCATGATTTTTTTTTTTTTCCCTGTAAGACATTTTTGCCTTAGGGGTATGCACTTGCCAAGGGAAGAGAGAGAGACAGTGAGAGGAAAAGTGAGAAAACACCCTCCAGGGGTGATGGCCATGCCATAATCCTGTCTCCTCCATTCTCCTCCTGAGATCTTGGGTATATACACACATGGACCTTGTGTGAGTTTTAAGCCACTAGGTCCAGGATTGGCCATGTGGGAGTCCAGCAACGAAACCACTATGTCATCTGCTGGCCCCATGCCAGGCAGGATTTTCAAGCCACCAGGTCTGAGACACAAACCATGGCTGGCTATGTGGGAATCCAGCACCTTAACCACCACGCCACATGCTGGCCCCAGGAATTACTATTTTTTTTTAGATAGTGATAATGTTATTAAACATAGTATTTTTTAAGAATTATTTTTTTATTTAACTTTATTTATTTATTTGTTTTTAATTTGACCACAGAGGAACAGAGCAGGGGGCAGGGGGGCAGTGGCAAAGCAAGCTGCCAGGTCCGGGACTCAACCTGTGGTCAACCATGTGGGAGTCCTGCACCCTTAACCACCATGTAATCAATCAGCCCCAAATTCATGTTTTTCAAAAAGAGCGCTGTGCCTTAGTTTTTTCAATATATGAGAGGAGTTCAAAATGATTGTGAAAAATGGAATTAAAGTGCAAACTTATTTTGTTACAAAATTTTTTAAATCCATGCATAATGTTTTCATAATACACATTTTCCCCAAACTTGTTGAAGACCTCCCCCCAGTACATAAGAAAACATTTATAAATAGAATTATATAATGTCTTGGCTTCAAAATAACCCTGGTTTCGGGGTGCAAACTGGGTCTAGACATAGTTGATAGCCGTTGGAAGTAAGCACTTGGTGCAATGGTTCATTATACAATTCTCTCAAATTCTTCATAGTGCAGTATTTTTGAATAATGAAATTTACAGCCTAGTTTGTGATTTCTCACATTCACCTTGTGCACGGTACGTACCAGTGTCAACGGAGTCCTCTTTACTAACAGGAACGAGGATGTGGGACAGGGAGCCAGAGCCGCTCTTCCCTGTCAAATCCAGCTGGACCAGGTGCAGCCGAGGCGTCGTCGCAGGTGGGAAGCGGTAGAACTGGAAGGTGAAATACACAGTCTTTGGCCATGGTGTTCCGCGGTGGTCCTGGGCCACTCTGAATCCAACAACAGCTCTGAATTAATCAATCAAGCATCCACAGCAGAAAACCTGGGGTTCTGACACACTTTTGTGTAGAATCGGCTTGGGCACCACAGGCACTGGGACAATGGTAGAGGCACCCCCCGTCACCAACGTGGACAGCTTTACTGTGAGCTTGGTAAGCCAGTCCAGCTTCAGCCCACCTCAGGCACAATGACACACAAAGCTGGAGAATGCTGCTCTCAAAGCTGCACCAATACCTCGGAGTTGGACCAAACACTGTCCACATTTTAATAAAAGATCACAAAAGACTGGGCAAAGCAGTTTTGACAGCACAAAGAATGGCTCTGGGTGGGTCCTTACCAGAATAAAATAAAAACAGATGGCATTTCTTAATCTAATAAAATCTGAACACAGCCCGCCAGGTTAAAAACACATTGATGTTTCTCTTCAACACAAGAAACATGAAAGCCAGGTAGAGTAACGCGGACAGACTATTCAGGAGTTACCTGCTAAAGGCAAGAAACTGCAGCACTATCTCATTGCTTTGAAAACAATCAGATTCTTCCTTTTGAGGGTCAAACTTCACAGGATCTGCAGGATGTACAGTTTCAGCTGGTTGGTTATTGGCATCCAGAATCTCGGGAAAGCCGGAGGACTGCAGGAGCACCATAGAGGCTCTCGAGAGCTGACTTCCAGAACTGAAACAGAAAGACGTCTCAGCCAGCCTCCCAGGAAAAAGCAGCAGAGACATGGGCCCTGTCAATGCCCCCTTGGTAGGAACCCTGTTGTTCAGAGAATGAACCATACGACTTGTCCCTGGCCAAGCCCTCCCAGACCTGCACCTCACCTCCTGGTTTGGGCTCCCATGACAATAGGGGCATGCAGAGGCGTGAATGGCAGCTCCTGTAACTGTTCTGCAACGGAAGTTCCCAAGACCGAAGAAGTCTGGCTCAGGTCAGTTTCCAGATGAGAGATCCTGCCTTCCAATGGGAACTCCTTCTGGATAAAACAAGGGTCCCTAGTGAGGACAATAGGATCCCAACCCATAATCACCAAGGATGGCTCAGTTCTGAGATTAACTGGCAAACTGCCTCTGTAAAGTTGTCAGCTTTAGCAAATAAAAACACAGGAGACTCAGCTACATTTTGTTTGTTTGTTTTGTTTTTGCTATAGGGTACGTGTGCTCACCAGAGAGAAAGGGACAGGAGAGAGACAGAAATCACTTCTCCGGGGGGTTGGCCATACTGCAATCCTATCTCCTCCACTCTCTTCTCGGGATTTTGGCCACATATGTACACATACCTGGCATGCTTCTCAAGCCACCAGGTCCAGAAGTTGAACCACGAAGGTGGCCATGTAGGATCCAGCACTTTAACCTCCACACCACCTGCTGGCCTGACTCAGTTGCATTTTAACTTCAGTAAACAAAGAATAATTTTAGTGTAAGTATGGCCCATGGAATACTTGGTACACACTTAACTAAAACATTATTTGCTGTTCATGAGAAATTCAGATTTAATTGGGCACCCTCTATGTCATGTGGTAATCTGATTTGTGAGTCGAAACACAATGAGAAAGGAATCATTGATTTTATGAGGCCAGCACCATGGGAGACATTTGATGCCTAAGATGGTAAATTAATATCAAAACATTTTTGTAGAACGGAAAGATCTAGTATCCCTCAGCAGTGAGAAAGATGGTGGCACCCAGGCCCTGGATGGTGTGCTGGGTTATCTCCCTTGTCCCCACATGCCCTGGGCATTCTAGTATTCATGTGTGCTCTGCCTTCTGCTTCCCTCCAAGGCAGAAGACGTATGTCTAAATGAGGAGCGTGTCTGGGAATCCAGAATGCTCTCTTTCAGGCTGATTCCCACGCTTTCTGTCTCAGCTCAAAAGGGATACCACATAACTGGAGGTAACCCCCACACCATGGCTCAGGTGCCAAAAATGAGATAGGCAAGTGCTTTGTAAGCACAGGAGCCCAGATGTTTTAGAATAGGCCTCCTAGCCTCAGGGAGTAATGTGTGTTTTCAAACGCATAATTGAAAGGAACTCCTTTTCGTCAGTGTACTTCCAGTGTGAGATCAGAGATGCAGCCTGCGTGTGAACCCACAGCCATGCGTGGACTCCCAAGGTCACGGGCAGTGTGGCCTACTTTAAGCTGTCCACTCACCCTGCTCCAGGACAGTGGGCCGCACTAATCCTCCTTAGCTGCTAACAGCAAGGACAGTGCTGGGGTGCTGGAGGCTGTCCCAGCCTCTATTTATAGCTCCAACGGCACCTTTTTCCTTTCATGTACAGAGATCACGGGGCAGTTTAACTCTGTTTTCTCAAGCAATGTGTCGAGGGGAGCTCAGGGGGCCACATTCTTCCTTGGTCTCTGAGATAGAATGGTGGCAAAGGTCAGAGGCATGGAAGTAAGCCATGCCCCCCAGCCCACCCTACTGCTCTTAGAGAAAACCTGCCAAAGACTCCGCCACCTAACGGAGGAACAGCATGGTTCAAGGAACCAGCCTTCCCCAGAAGAGCCTGGAGCCATTCTTTGCCAGAGGGTGAAGTAGGATGCAGGTGATGCACTTACTTCCTGGGCAGGGCAGGGCTGAGAGCCATCTGGATGCTGTAAAGCAGCTCTGGCTGAGTGGTGGTGCTGAGCTGGGGACTGGGGGGAAGCCACCAGCTGGGAAAGGGACAGCTAAAAAGGAAGAGAGCTGGGGTTAGACGACCAATACGCCCCAGTCCATTCACAAAGCCCCTGCTCCCTACCCTATCCCCACACAAACACAGACACACACACACACACAGAGCTGGGAGAGTGACAGCTGGAAATGAACAGAGCTGGGGTGAGGCAGCCAATGCACTCCAGCCCATTCATGAAGTTCCTGATACACATACACACACACACATACACACACGCCCACACATGCATGCATGCATGCAGTTCTGGATCGAACCCAGCAGGAAATGACAGCCATGGTCCTGGGTCAGTGGTTGCTTTGGACTCGAACAGCTTATAAATTTCCTGTATTGTAATCAGAGAGAGATGTGATTTTTGTGATCTCTCCTAGATCATACTATCTGAATAAAAATACTATTAAAAAGAAAAAGCAGGAAAAAGAGGGGAATGAATCTCAGGCTATGGGGGTGGGTTGGCCTTTGACTTCTCTGGGTTCTGTCTCCATCCCTGGACTAACACCCTCCAAGGCCCTTCCAATCCTCACCACCAGTGTCCCTCCAAGAGACCCCTAAGGCAGTGACTATACTGGTGGCTGACATGGACCCACCCCATTATCATGTGACTGTGGGCAAGGCAGGTAGCCTCTTTTCATCTCAGTTTCCTTAACTGAAAAATGGGGATAATAATAGTACCCAAATCACAAGACCAATGTGAGAATTAAATGAGAATTCACAGACACAGCTTGGCTCGACACCTGGCACATGGTAAGCCTTCTATAAATGTGGCCAGTATCTGTAAAATGCTCCATACACAGACTGGTGTGGAGGCGGGGCGTCGACCCTCAACTCTATTTCCAGTATTCCCAGCTGCCCTAGAGAATTGCATCCACCACACTGGTCAGCCCAAAGACAGAGCTGGCACAAAGAAGCACTCGTTCTCCAAGGAGACACATGAAGCTACAGGGCACCCTGAAACCATATTTAGGGAGCAGAGAAGACCTTCAGGGTCTGTTCACTCCCCTCAAACCCTAAAGTGTCAAGAGCCTGTCCTGCCTTTGCTAGGAGGGAGAGCTGCCCAGTGGCCTCTGAACACTTAGAGGAAATGAGGAAGGCATGGCAGGGAAAGCTGGATTAGGCCAGCAGGGACATATGTCTTTAAGGTCAACACAATATCCACTCGTGAGCCAGGTTCCAAGCTGTGTGTTACACATCACAGACACTTCCTAGAGACAGCCTTGCAGACTGAATTACGTAACTTTTCTAGAAAGTCGATTTCCAGGGTGATACTGACAGACAAAGCCATCAAGAGGAACAAGCCAATTCTGACCTCACTCAAGATCACATAGTCAAAACCCAGTCTAGAGCCACAGGAAGTGCCTCAGGAGGGCTTGGGATCCAGAGGGGTGGCCAAGCAGAGGCACACCACAGGCCCCCTAGCCAGACAACGGCCATGCCAGAAAAGGCCTTTCTTTCCACACAGGAAATTCTAGCACCACGGATCTGTCTGTTCTCTGACATGTCAAGGTGCAGCATCTCTCTCAGCTGAGACCCTGTCTCTACTGGCACAGGTAATCAGTCCACAGGGCCAGCTGGTGTCTTGTGGCCTCAGCTGCTCTGGGCCCAGTGTCTGCCAGGTGCTTTCTTCTGGCACAAGCAGGCTGGAAGAGAGAAGGGAGTGAGGCCACACCTCAGTGTCTCTCAGAATAAAAACAAAGACTGTTCATCCTGAAAGAGCCTCAACCATTAGATGTAATTGCAGAGAGAATACAGCATGTTTTAGAAGTGTTGAAACATGCCTTAATAGCAAACTGAAGGATCATTAACAATCAGCACGAAGGCCCCACCCTGACAGCAGGCTGTGATTGCGGA